TTTTTATGGAATAACTAATTCTTAAAGTTATATGATACGTAATTGCAATAAGAGTGATGATCTTGAATCAAATATCTGACAATATTTTCCATTATTTTACGCCATTTATTATTTATTTATTAAATTTCAGTCAAAGAATTTAGAAAAAGAGAAAATGTAGGAGCATTTCCGTGGCAAGCTGCAAATTTTGGTGAGCTGTATGAAAAGTTGACGGGAGAATTCTGCCCTATTGACTTCGTGAAAAGTTTCGTTTAGTAATTATTTTTTAATATAAGCACTTTCAAGATTTTTTAGTAAATATTTTGATTTATCTTTTCTAGATTAAATTGTAATGTTTTTGAAATAAAGCATCAGTGGTTAAATTAGTATAGAAATGTTTCACCATTCACATACACATATAAAGTTCATTCATGTGTATATAATTTAAAATTATTTTTTAATTTGTAGCATTAATTTTTTGGTGAAATACTAAAATATAATTACAGTTAATGAAAAAGATAAAACAAATAAGGTGTTAAGAGTTAATTATCAGTATATATAGAAACATATATAAGTTAGTCATCATTCAAATACAAACTCACTCTACAATATCAATCTTAAAAAATATTGGTTTACAAACTTTAGCTTAAATACAAAATAGCAAACAAATATCTTTCAAAATATTAGTATTAAATTCATCTCATCAAAGATTAAGATCAAACTAATTATAAATATTTTTTTGTTTACATAAACTTTAGTTTCAAAAGTTAATTATAAGTTCATTACATAAATAATGGTATAGTCAAGCATATTATGAGTGGTGTAAAATCATCCCTAGATTATTTAAAATAAAGTAATTTATAAAACCTTTCCGTTCAAACTAGAATATTATCCATGGAAGCACCATATATCCACCTACTCTCAAGGAAATTTATCTCATTTTAGAAACAAAAAAGACATTACTACAACATACAAGTAATACTGTTCATAAATCTGTTTGTGTTCTTAATTTATCATGTCCCGAGTCTACTATCATTACAACCACACTAAATAATTAATCAAATCAAGATATAACGAGTGACTCTTTTATCTTAATTATTTTTTGTTAACTGCTCACTGATTATTTTTTTGGTGCACATATTTCATCATTCATTTTATATTTATTAATACTAGTGAGAAAATAGTTCATGTATGTCTATTTATACTTTGTATCAATTAAACTATAATTTTTTATTAACAATATTATAAAATAAGGTTTAAATTATATCGTTTTTTATTTTCGTCAATTTTGTTTAAAATGATCATCGAATTTTTTGGACATTCAAAATAGTCCTAATTTTTGTAATTTTTGTTCAATTTGGTCATTTTTTTCTAACAATGTCTAAATCGTAATTAAAGAGTGTCCACATGTGTCATTAGTGATTTTGTCTGAGTGACTACCCATTGTCTCTATTCACCTCATCATCTTCAATCTCTCACCACCCAAAACCATATCCACCACTAGATCACATTTTCTTTTGTCGGCAATTTGTCATCCTTGCACCTTCCATTTCCGTCAACCACTACATAGCAACACAAAGCGATCACAAGCCACTCTTGTTCATCATCATGCCAGCAAAGACCAAATCATAGTAACCACCACGAGTATGTTCTCATTCTTCAAACATTGTGAACCACAACACCGCCTAGAATCATGCCACCACCCACCAACAACGAACCACTTGGGGCAGCGCCACAAGCCACCATTGTTCGCCTTCTTCGTAACTGTGAGTTCCATCGCGAGTTACTAACATCACTCCCTCAACCACCATGAACCACTACACCCACAAAAAACCCAACCCGAAAATCCAAACTCCAAACTCCAAACCCTGAACCCAAACCCCAGACCCTAAACCCAAATCTCCAAACCCCAAGCCTTAGGCCCCAGACCCCAAACCCTGTAAACCCCAAAACCTATACACCTTGAACCCTATATCCCTAAATCCTATATCTCTAAGCCCTACACCTTAAAATGTACACCATAAACCATACACCATAAATCGTACACCCTAAACCTAAACCCTTCACCTAAACTCTGTTCCCTAAACATCAGACCCAAATCCCCAACCCAAAATTTCAAACCTCAAACAATTTAGATGCGTTAGAGAAAATGATTAAATTAAACAAAAACTAAGACAACTTTGAATGCTGAAAAAAAATCGATGACCACCTTAAACAAAACAAACGAAAATATACACTAAAATATGTATTAAACATAAAAAAAATAAGTTTTGTAATTTTTTTCATTATATAAATATTTTTTTTATTATAAATAATTATTTGAATACAAAAATGTTATTATTAAAAGGATAAAATTAGAAAATATTTTTTTTATTTTGAATAATTATTTGAATTTAAAACGATGATTACTAAAAGCTAAAATTGAAAGAGAAAATATCAACACTAAAAAATTAAATACTTTTTATATAATAGTATAAAGAAACTTTTTTATTAATTATTTTACCTTTATATTTTTTTAAGTGTTTTTTTCTAATTATTTTTTGAGGATATAATTTTACAAATTTAATAACATATTCTATTTTAATAACAATTGAAATAAATATTTTTTATTTTTTATTATTATAAAATAAACTATGTGTGCGCGCATGCATTTTCACTAGTAATCAGTAAAAAGAAATATAGGTTAGCAAAAATAAGTGATTTGATTAGTTTTCTCCGTTATGATGATATACAAAGCAACTGAATATAGTTTTGGATAAAATGTTGTCTAAAAATAATTTATTTCTATAATTAAAATTAAACTGAATATTTTAATTATATTAAGTTAAATGTTATATATATTATATAAAATAATTTTTTAATTCTTGTAAGGATTAAAATATAGTTTTTATATATATAAATGAAAAGGCATAAAACCCAAACAACGGCATGGGCCACCATTGAAAATTTGTTGAGTAAATTTGATGCAAAATTGAAAGGAAAAAACACACAAAGAAAGTAAAATTTAACTCGTATTGATATGATTGGGCTTTCGCAGGGGTTCACCCAATCAGAGGTTGAACATGATAACTATGGGCTTTCTTTAATGGAAGATAGCAATTATGTATCCAATATTAGCCCATTAATTATCACCCATCAAATTTTATTTACACAAATGCATTCATTATTGTTTATGGTGTAATTTTCTTAAATTATGATTACAAATGAAAAAATGGATAAATTCCTCTGTTTTTTTTTATGACTCGATTGTTCCATTTTCTTTATGCTTATGATGTTTTTCTTTTCTTATTTCAAAGTACTTTGTTTTTAACCAAAAAAAAAAAAAACAAATAAATAAATGTCTTAATGTGATGTACTCTTTTTTCCTATTTTAATTTAAATACTTTCATTGAAGGTACGACTATTAAAATTTTTACTGTGATCTTATATATATTTTTAAATTATTGAAATAAAAAAAATTATCAAGAACTTACATTTTAAAATTAGTATTTAAATTAATTATTATTACTAATTTATAATACACTTTTATATTTATTTTCACAAAAAATTATAATTACTTGAAACCATGTGTAAATAACTATTTATTACACATGGAAAACCATGTGTAAAATTAATTTTATATATGAGAAAATTAATTGAAAAAATTAACAACCATACTCTATTTTATATAGAAGGAGGTTTAAATGAGTATACACATGTATTAGTATATGCATATATAATGATTTAATTTTATCTAATAATTTTTTTTGAAAAAATAACGGATTATAAGAAGTTAATTTAAGAAATTAGAATTACGGGTGATGACCACTCTCCATGTTTTTTTCAATAACTATCCAACATTAATAAAATAATATTTTTATTTTAAAATATAAAATAATTAACAATAAATCAACTAGAAAAGTTAAAAAAAAAACATTTTTATTAAATATTAAATTGGAGTAGAAAACTTGAAAAGTGTACAATAAAATATTTCCTAAAATTTATTTCTACTGAACTGAATAGACAAGTAATCTAGTCTTTTTGCTTTTTGCCTAAAGTAAACTGTGAAAAGTTGACATCTCTGGGAGATCGAGGGTCATAGAAGCAAAGTTTGATTGAAAGATTGAGACTATAATCAAGACTGAAATATTATAAAATAAATAAATAAATTGAGTGAAATGAACTTTATTGTAATTATGAATGGAATTGATCATTAAAGTGAGAAGATGATGGCTCTTAGTTGACACTAAATGTTCTTTACCTTTGTTAATTTAAATGTAAAGAAAAAGGGTTATTTTTAAAACACTTCCCCAACAATGTCTGACAATGGTCAATTTGCATAAAAAAAATATTTTTTTAACAGTTTTTTTTATATTTTTTTTATAACAGTGTATTATGTACTAACGTATGATTTATCTGTTTCAAATATACATATTAATAAAATAATAACATATAATTTATTATCCATAATCCATCATAGCATCTAGAAAAGCAAAAGATGGTAGAAGAAATATCCTTACAAAAGGAAAAACATCAATTCATCTTCTTAGTATAAAGTAAACTTAAAGTAAATGGGAGAATTAACTTAATATATGATCATGGATCTCAATGTTTCACACACACATAAATAAATATAGGCCTTTTGGGATATGTTAGTTGAGTATGCTAATAATTTTCACCTAGAATGTTGTCGAGTTGTCCATGTTTGTAGAAGAATTAACAATGACAGATGTTAGTTTGTTGCCTCGTGGCAGTATCTATTTGTTTGTCAGATTTTATGACAACATATTGGGGACAATGCAAATTAAGCTCAATGGCCCATCAAACATTATTAACTATGAATAAATCTTCATGACTTTGAAAGAGGTTTTGGTTGAATCCGACAACAATGATGATTTTGTTTGATGGTAATTATCTCTGCTTTGTCATAACATCTTCTTCACTGCTTAACCTACTCAAAAAGCAAGAGTTTTTCAGTGTTTTGTCACTTCTACTGATATTGCATAAGTAGTTTTTCTTAATCTTGCAGGATCCAATCCAAATAACAAAATTTCTTCTCGTAAATCAAACCATAAATTAATTGACGTACAAAAGCATATGGAGGATTTCAAGCTCCAGGCCCCACTTTAAGTGGCATCCACCATTACAATCATTCCCACGATTCTCTCATTCTAAAGAACCTACTCAAAAGCATTTTGATCAATAAAGAAAAGGAAAAAAAGATGAAAAAACTGGTTGGAAGTTGGAACACACACAAAGCTTGCTGACACAAGGTAGTACTAGTAGTGATAGTAGTAGTGACTAGTAATGTGTAACTGATAACTTTTTCTCTTCTGTTTCTCTTCTTGTCACCAGAAGATGGTGTGGTTTGAAGTTGAGTTTTCTGGTTCAAACATTCTCTGTTGATGAAGAAAGAAGTGGCTGAGCAAGTGATGCTTTGGCGTGGCTTGCAGGCCTTATGATGCTATGATCAGTAGTGGATGCAATAGCAAGCTGTTCTCTAGCAAATTTCCTCTCTTCACTTTTACCCCACAAAACAAAGTATAGTCCCGCTACAATCAACACTGCCCCAATGATCCTGTGTGACATCACAGATTCAGCCAAGAACCAAAACTATTATTATCATTCTAGAAAAGAAAAGAAAAGGGTAAATAATCAAGAGGGAGCAAAAAGTTAACTTAAAGAAGCACACGAGACACAATCTTCTGTTCAACATGTCCTATGCTATAATTCTTCAAACTTTTTTAACCCTTTGGAATGTAGAATCATTCAGCAGAAACCCCTTTTCAGGTCTCACCGAAAGGTAACAAATTTACTTGTTTTTCTAGCTGTAATTGTCGTTTACTGCCCTTTTGTCATTTTGTCAGTCCCCAGACAAGAAAAATACCCTTTAGGCCATTTCAGCATATTGCAGGAAATACGCAGTCAAAGTTCTCGTTCATTGGAAGATGAAGTTTATGTTTAGTGTGTGTGTTTAGTCAAAATTTGACTGAGGAATCCATTTTGTGCACTGTATGAGTCAAGGAAATTTCAATTTCTTCTTTGAACCATGAGCACATGCATACATTTTTCTTCTTCGTGCATGAATATTTTTTTGTAACTTTTTCTTATTTATGTTGTTGTGTTGTGTTAACTCATTACATGATGGAAATGATGAAGAAAATGAAGGATGGTTAGAGTGTAGTGGGGACTAACCCTCCCAAGTAGAACTCTTCGCCTAAAGCAAGGGAAGCCATAATAGCGACAACGAGAGTTTGAACAGGTTGATACACTGCAACGAACACAGGGCCACCTCTGTCGACGCACCATGTCTGAACAGCGAAGGCAATTCCAGATGCCACCACTCCCTGCAACCCATTATCAAAACTTAATTAAAACAGGAGACAACTCAATTAGTTCTTTCTGTCATATCTTACCATCAGTAAATGTTTTCCCATCATTATTCACACAGAACATGATTCATAACCACTTTTGTACCATATACAATGTCACGCCTCAAACCCATGCAGCACTTTTCAAATTCATATTTTAATTACAAATATTACTTATGCTAGTTAGAAAAACGATCAGCTTTTGATCAGTTTCATTTCCTCTAAAAAAACATGGATGAATCATTTTAATTTATCTGACTCACAAGACAGACTCTGGTCGCTGGTCACTGGTCACTGGTCACTTTATGTATGTCTGTGTCTGATAAAGCAAGTTTTATAAATGATGTTATTCCAAACCATTGAATAAACAATGAACAAGCACAAGGTCCTAAGTTTTCAAAACCATTTTTTTATGACAGTGCAGTGAATTAGCTGTAAAACTGATAAAACTCCTGCTCTAATTAGAAATACTACCAGAATTGTGTGCAAGTTTTATACTTTTTTAGAATTGAGTATAAAGTACACAACAATATTCTATGTAAAAGTTACTAACCGCATATAAAATTGTGAAAGCTTCTCCACCAGAGTGGAAAAGCCAAGCCTGTGCATCTCTTTCAAGGACCAAAGCAATGACCAGGAACTGCAAGAGGCCAAAGAAACAGGTGTAGGAAGTGAAAGAGAGACGAGCCGGGTATTTCTTCAAAACTGGTGCTTGCAGCACAAGCCAACCAGACCAAGACAAGCAGTGTCCAATCAGGTACAAACATCCCAGGGTCCAGTTCTTTCCCTTTGCATCTCCCAGTGAGAGTGTTCCAAAATCAAACACTGGTGTTGTTATTGTGTTGCTGTTCATGCTGTTCACACGGGTTGCTGGGCTGTATATTGTTGGACCTTTGTAAAGTGTGATCACAGTGGCCCCAATTACACACAAAAGGGTTCCCACCACCTTTGCCAGCCCGTCTTTTCTGTTCAATCTCACTTGCTCTATTCTGAAATTGTGCAAACCAACTTTCATCACTCATATATATATATATATATATATATATCAAGTTCATGTGTTTATATAAATGTTTCCAAAGTCATATGTAGCAATAGTAATTGGTTAGTTAAAGAAGGGCTTGCCTGAAAATGGCTGCCATGAGGAATGTAATTGCTGGGACAGAGTTCTGTATTGCTGATGCGAAGGTAGGAGATGTGTTCTCCAACCCAAGCAAGTAGAAACCTTGGTTTGCTGTAATCCTGTTTAATGCCACATTTGTATATATCATATCAAAGGAAAGTTCTATATTTTGAAATTGAAAGACAAAAAAGCCCTTAATTTAGTTTAACTGTAATTAGTCTTGCATGGCTTGATAAATTAGACATACCCAACAAGTGCCAGAAAAAAGAACTGGCAGGCAAAGTTTAAACTGATAGCTGGCCTCTCCTTCCTGAAACAAAGGAAAACAAAGCTGCACGTGAGATTATGAATTACTTGTGAAAGTTTATAGAGAAAGTGTTAACATAGATTGCTCCAAATGAATGTAAAGACTCGTAACATATTATGTTATATTATATATATAATACTTATGTATGTGGTTTTGTATGCTGTCTGTTATTTATTATGCAGAAGTGTACACAAATTCTTTAGTAAAATGGTCCAACTGATTTATGTAGGTTAAATAACTGTGAAGTTTCTAAAAACACAGGAAGTTTAAAAGATGATGTGTTACTAACTTTTCCAAGAAGTAGGCAAAGGGAAGGAGTAGAAGCAAGGCAATGATGTTACGATAGACAGGGAAAACAAGCTTGCTGACACCCATGTTAAGGGCAGCTCTTGAGACGACATGGAAGCCAGCATAGCCAAACTGCAAGGCCAGCATGGCCACATGCAGCTGCATTCTTTCAGGAATGGAACACCACATTCTCCTGGAAGAGGCTGAGCCTAAATCAGCCATTTAGAAGTGATTACTGCAAAAGGGTATAACTGGTTTAGACCAAAATAGCAGTTAAGTGAGGTGTAGGTAGGTAGCGTTGTGTGAGCTATAAATGGTAGAAGAAGAAGAAGAAGAGTAGGAAGTGCTGATGAGAAAACTGGAGAAGAGGACCTATAAATATAGAGAAGTGTGAGAAAAGAGTGTGGAATAGAAGGAATAGGCATGGCCCACAATCTCCCTAAAAAGACGTTATGTCAACTGTTGATACCATTGGAATGTTTTTAGTTGTCTCCCACATTTTCTTTATAATCTACCTTCTTTGCCTGACAACACAACTCTCACCGCACTTCCCTTCAAATTTAAACCAAAGAAAGGATCTACTAACCCTAAGTGTGCTTCATTATCATCATCTTATATAAGTAATAACACTTCTAAACTACATTTTATAAAAGAAATATCAGTCTTTAAGATTGTTAACAATCCTTGAAAGCAAATTTAACTGAATAAGAATTAATGTTAATTAATAAGTTTACCTTTGAATCAATACATCTGATAATCTAAGTGAGTCTAAGTCTCATACGAGATAGAAATGAAAAAGTAAAGCATTGTATAAAGGTGTAAGACCTATTAACTCATTGCTTTAAGGTTTTTGACATATAATGATGTTAATCTCTTATATGGTTAGACTCGTATCTTATTGGTGTTTGTATCTTTCTGGTTAAATTCATATCTTCGGTGAACCTCTTCCTAGATAGATAAATATATAAGTGTATTATATTTTGTTTAGTGAGAAGATTATTGTCTGGTTGAACAGATTAGCAGGTTATGGTTTGGCAGCATGCCATGAATGACGATAATTGAGCAATGGCTTAGCCGTCATCAACACAAAAAAGCCAGACAGCAGGGTGGTGGATACCCCCGTTCCATTCATTTTCAAAGTCCAAACCCCACCTCCACCAATTTCTGTTTCAATTCTTTTGCACTCTTCTAAGATTTTTGTTACGGATTTTTTTCAATTAGATAATTACAGGCTAATCTTGTTTTATGATAATTTAATATTTAGTGATTCAATAAGTTTTTGTATAAGATGGTTCTAGTGATCAAATGATCTTACATTATTTATGACAGTCAACAAGTTTTAAAATGAACAAATATATATTAGATGTGAAAATTGAGAGAGCTTTTAAAAATAAATCATTGTTTTTTTTAATTCGATACTTTCATATTATTTAAGAATCATATTTAAAGATAATTTAAATATATCTTTTTCGTTTGTTTAATATGCCTTCTATACTTCAAGTGTGATTTCTTTGAAATAAATATAAAATTAAAATGTAATTTGATTTTAATTTAATACAAAAAGTTGAACAAAATAAAGAGTTTATTATTTAGTTTTAGGAATATTTATTATTATAAAATTATTAATTATATTTACAACTGATATTTATAGTTTTTTTATTGATTTTGGTGATTATTGTTATCTTTATAATTATAAGTCATTTCCACATTCATAAATAAATTATACAACTTTATATATAAAATTATAATACAAAGTCATCATTATGTTTTCGTAAATATAGATATATTATAAATAAAATACAATCAAATTGTAAACAATTTTAAAAAAAAATATAACTTTTAAAAAGTTAAATAATTTTCTGTCAATCTCTTAAAATGTACCAAATTTTAATTGACAAAAAAATCTCTATTTTTAAACATAGAGTATTTTAATAATTTTTATTTTAAATTTAAAATAAAAAATAAAAAATTAGAAATTATTTAAATATCTTTAACTTTAAAACTTAAAATCCATAATATATGAGAATATTTTTGTCAATTAAAATTTGATATACTTTAGAGTTAGCAAATATATATATATATATATATATATATATATATATATATATATTTTCTGTTTTATTAATTATTTTCTCTTCCTTTGATATGTGTATATATAATAATTTCTGCACGAGGGAAAATTTATTTAAAAACATTTAAAGTGTAATATAAATATTATTTTAATGTTTATCTATAATATCTTATGTTGATCAATTTGAATTTTAAGACTCTATCATGAATTGTGGAGTGCAAAGACTCTAATAAAGATCTCTTTATAAAATTATATTTAATGGTTATAAAAGGGTTGAATAATTTATTGATTAATTAATATGACAAGGATGAGTATAATTGTGATATTATGGAAAAACTAAAGACAGAGTGACGAAAGAGAATCCACTTACCCTCTTACCCAACACTTTTTCCCTATTCAAATAATACATTATCATCAAGCATGTATGGTAAGCACTCATATAATATATCATATCATATGGACCACACCATTGGCTATAATACTATACTTTCCTCCTTCCTATAATATTTTACTCACCAATCATCTAAAAGATATATATTTCATTTCTAAATGTTCTATTGCAAGTAATAATTTTTACTACATTGAATTAATTAATGTCCAATTATCTCAATTTAATCACAAAATTAAATTAAAATTTTCTTGAGTATTTAGAAGAAAAACTTTGTTTGAATTTTGAACTGAAGATCCCTTAATTTTGTTTTTTTTTTCTATATTTCAGAGGTTGACAGCAGAGAATACAAACAATGAGAATTTAAAAAAAAAACATGATAAACATTGTGATGTAACTAGAAAAAAGAGATACAAAATAATTATTATAACACTGAAAAATCTTAAACAATGACCAATTTTAATAATTAAAAAGAATTAGTTAACTAATTTAAATATTAATTGATAAACTAAAAGTTATTAATAATTAAAATAGTTTTTATTATAAACTAAAAGTTATAATTGTTCCTAAATTGATAATTAAAACAGGTTTTATTACGAATTGACTTTTAAATGGTTACTAGCATTAATTATTAATATTGAAAAAATTGATCTATATTAAAAAGTTAGTTAATAAACATAATTTTGTTACTAAAATTAATCATTGTTTAAGAATTTTTTTAAAGAGTAAAATATGTTTTAAATACTAATGATATATAAGAAATTCTAAATGATATATATACCAAAATAAATAATTTTTAGACAAATAAAATATTTTGTATCTGAGTTTAAATTTAATATTATTTTTTTAGCAATAATATATTATTATATATGCTGTATGAATAATTGTGTTGTATGTTTAATTTAATAATTAAATTTCCTTTAATTTTTTGTAGTTTTTTTATTTGTGTTGGACATCTAGCAATGATTATGTTTTAACATGGAAACCAATAATCTATTGGCACAAGTGCTCGAGAGAGCCCATAAGAAACATATAAATAACTTTATTTGTATAAACTTTTATTTTAATTGTTTATATTTGAGATATGTAATATATTCATATACCTAAATATTCAACCAAATTATATTATCCTTTAATTCATATGTTTTAATAAATTTTATACTGAATATTTTAGTGTGTTCTAAGTTCTTTCCCCCAAAAATATTAATTTTATCTACTGGATATGGTAGAGATAAGAATTATAATATGGTTAAATTATAATGATGTAAATACAATACATAAAAACACACTATTTTATAATGAAAATAAAGTTTAATTTCTTTTTCAAGAAACTAAAAAAGAAAATATATTGAGAAATATAAGAAGAAACTAATGAAATTAAAAAGCTTCATTTGCCAAAATATTGATTAGAATATTCATGTCGTATATCTCTAATGATTTTTATGTTTTTATTTTACTTTTAGTCCTTAAAGCACTATTTAAAACATTTTATTTCAGTTAAAAGAAAAATATAAATTTATTAAAACCAATGTATTAAAGAAAACTTATTAGAAATTGAAATAAAATCTAATGATTTATTAAGGATAAGAAAAACTATTTAATACTTTTACAAATTGTATATCCCTAAACTTCTAAAATTTTAATTTTACTTTATGATCAAATGAAGAGATGAAATATATGTGAATTTTTATAATAGAAGTTGTAAATTTTTTGTTATAATTTACATTAAACATTAGCACATATAAGATAATATTTTTCTTTATAAATTGAACTATTTAATATATATATATATATATATATATATATATATATATATAATTTATGAATTATAAATATTCATAACGGCGTGCACACGTACCTTATATAATTTTTTATAATTTTAACCATTTAATGGATAATGATTACATAACTAAAGTAATAATGACATCGAACAACAATATATATGAAATTTTACTTTAGTTTTCTTTTTTTCAAATATATAAATAGATAGACAGAGAGGATCCCGGAAATAAATTAAGTAGGGTTCATAATTTCACATATATGAATGTGAGCATTACGCAAGCTGACTCATAGCAGCGATCTCAATGTAACCAAACAAAAAGAAAACAAAAAAAAAAACATCCACACACAACTAAATCTCATTAAATAAATAATAATGACTACCACGTCCCATTTAAATAGTTTAATATATTATTTAGGAAATATCATAAGTTCAGATAAGTTAACTAATAGAAAATACAGTGTAAATCTTCTCAGAATTATCTAAATATAATTATAAATCAAATTTTATATATGTTATTAATCCAAAATTTATATACAAATTTAGTTTTTTAAAACAACGAAAATGAAGCACGTGTACTAAGATACTTGTATATTTGAGTCATTTAAATCTAGAGTATATTCTAAAGATACATCATCTTCTTCTGTTTACATCTACCAGATATTATCATCCAAGAATCAATCACATGATAAGTATCAATAAAGAAACACACAAGAAGTGTAAGCTAATGATAAAAAGAACCAAGCATGGTATATTAAGATTTCTTCATGTATTGCATTTTACACAAATTTAATCAAACATTCTAATCATGTTTTTGACCTAGATTTAATCATCCAGATATAGTATGAATATTGAGATATGGTCATGCACTTGTGGTGGCATTTATCGCTCTGCATAGTTATTGGCAATGAGTTTCACCCTACCACAAACACAAGGTTGGCCTATTTAACATCTTAGGCTATACTAAAACACCTTAAACTAGGACCTACTGCTACTTCCATCACATGCATCACTCATCTCTAATGAAAAATGAATTATCATTCGAGTGTTAGGATAATCCCAAGACTAAGCTTCCAACATTCATACAACAACACTTGATACCACCACTAAGAATTC